AGGGTGGTATAGAGATTGGAAGCCAGGGCTCTGTCCTCAGGGTCCCTGGAACCAAACCCTGAGCGTTTGTTCCACTTTCCCTCTCGGACCTCCCCAGCCACCCCTCCCACTCCCTCCTCTGGTGCCCTGTGCAATCATGACAGCAAAGCTGCAGACCTCATAAGAACTAGATGACTTGATTTGCATAAGCCAATGGACCCGTGGCTGGACGGTGGCGGTGGGATTAGTTCTGATCTAGCAGGGTCCAGATGCTGTGCCCTACACATGCATCCGCAGGACCAGGCTGAATCAGAGGGAGGCACCAAGTTGGGCTTCCAGCTCTCCACCACCTTTGGCTTTTTCCTCCTCTGGAGAAGGGAGCTCAGGGTAAAGGATGGCCGAGGAAGTCACCCCCACTGCGGTCAGGACTGGGGTTTCCAGCACAGGAGGGTCCTGACTGATTCACTTGCTCTAGAGGATCCGCCCAGCTGCTGATGGAGGCAGGGCTGGAGGGGAGGGAGGGGCTGTTTCCAGAGGCAGGCTGGATGCCTGGCCTGGGGGTGCACAGAGGTGCTCAGAGGCGCGGTGCCAGAGGGGTGCAGGAATGAGCAGGAGAGGGTTCAGGGAGAAGGGCTGGATCTCCGCCCCGAGTTCCCCCCACCCTTTCTCAGACTCCAGCCTGGCCCCCGTCTTTCCCTGTTCCCTTCTGCATCTCTCTCTGGGCGTCTCTAGGAGGCCTCTCATGTCACCTGGCCTTACACTAGTCCTCCATCTCGGCTTCTCTCTTTCTCTACCCAGGAAAAGGTTAAATGCCACTTCTTTTCCTCATGATCCCCGCACAGTTGGCTTCTATGTTGGAGTGCGTTGAGTCAGTCCACGCTCTGAGCCACTGAACTCGCTCACTGATGTTCGCTGTCATTTACAGAGCTGAGCACGTGGGTGCGCATCACCGCCTGACCCAAGACGTGAGCAGCCTCATGAGGGCCAAAAGGTGGCTTGTGAGTCCCACGTGTGTTCAGAAAACCCAACACGAGACAGGCTGAAGGTTCCTGTTCACCCGTGGGCCTGTGAAGTCCAGATTCCTGTGTGAGATGCTCTTTAATTAGTGTAAGGATGCCACATCCTTAGTTAAAATAAAATGTCACCTGAATGTGTTGTGACCACCAAAGAACCAGATTACCTTCAGGCAAAATCACCCCTATGGCTTTAGAGGCACTGGACTTGGTCATTCCCTGTCCACAAGACCCTACAATGTTAAATAATAACAAAATTCATTTTATAGGAAATCAAAAGGTATCCTTTTAATCAAATTTCCAAATTATTGAATTTATGTTGAATATTTTTTGAAAACACTGTCCAGTTTATGATACTCTGTTTTTATCCAGATCAAAATGTTTATAAGAGGAGAGTGTGGCGTTGGCAAGAGAATGGGCAGAAGATCAATGGAATAGAACAAAGAGCCCGGAAACAGCCACAGGAACAGGCAGAAGCTCTCCATGGAGGAGCACAGGTGACAGACAATAGCCCTGGAGCAACTGGACATGCACCGAGTCCAGACACGGAGCTCAGCCTCCCAGCAGCCGGCCCAGAGTTCACCACAGAGCCCTGAAGGCACCATAGGCATCAGGCTCTCGAAGTCAGGCAGGAAGGAGCCAGGTCACCTGGGGTCTGGGTCAAGACTTTGCAGACCCTGAGCCCCGGCCCCGTCCAGGAAGAAGAAGTGATAAGCGGGACTTTGTGCTTGAGGAGGACACTGTCCAGAGGATGAGAAGGTACACAGGGATGCGGACAAGATGCTGGCAAAAGGCACATCTGATAAAGGAGCGTCATCTGAAGCACACAGAGAAGGGAGGGAATGCCTGATTAACAAGGGGCCAAGACCTTATCAGACACCTCTCCAAAGAACATGCAGATGGCCAGGGAGCGTGCGGGAAGACACCTGCCACGGGCCGCTGGAAAGACACATGGGAACCCCAGGAGGTGCCTGCACCTCTAAGGGAAGGGCCAGCTTCCCACCCTGAATCCCAGTGCTTGCAGGATGGTGACGAGAACGTCCACCCTCTGCTGCTGGGAACGGGCAGTGGCAGGGGCCCTTTGGACCACAGACTGGTGGCTTCTCATGAGACCACAAGAATTCTCACTCTCTGATCCCACAATCACACTTTGGTATGTACCCTAATTAATTAAAAGCTAACGTCCACACAGAAACCTGTACACAGATGCTCACAGCAGAATTATTCCTGGTTGACCTCACTTAGAAGCAACTATGATGTCCTCCAGTAGGTGATGGGTAGATACACTCCGCCTCCTCCAGTCAGTGGAATAAAAAGTAATACGCTACCAGCCCTGAAGAATCTGGAGGGAAACTCCAACGCATACTGCTAAGTGCAAGAAGCCACGGTGGCCAGGTGTAGACCACGTGAGTCGAGCCACACTATGCTGGGAGAAGGTGAGACCACGGAGATGGTGAGAAGACCCGCGGCAGCCAGCGCTGGTGGGGAGGAGGGAGGCACAGTGGCAACCGTGTCCTGTGATACTGCACGGCAGACACACACCCAGACAGCGTGCCAGGCCAAGGGGGCACCTGAGGAACTGTGGCCCACCCCATGACGCCATGTCCAGGCATGTCCACTGGTTATGACAGACGCCCCACGCTGGAGCAGGACACTGACATGGGAAGCAGGGGGGACACAGGAGATCTCTGTCCCTTTAGCTCAGCATGGCTGCACACCAAAACAACTCTAAAAAACAGTCTATGGAACAACACAACTTGTGTGAGTTAAAATGACATCTAAATACTTTGTCATTCGTTGGGCCTTCATTGGTCAGTACAGAAGTTTAAAAGTGTCTCCTTTATAATTTAGTACAGACTTGACATTTTAGCACAATGAGAATGAACAAACGAACCAACAAAAGAAAGAAAGAAAGTAAAGAAGGGAGGGATGGAGGAGGGGAGAGGGGAAGGAAGGGAGGGAGGGAGGAAGGGAGGGGAGAGGGGAAGGAAGGGAGGGAGGGAGGAAGGAAGAAGAAAGGAAGGAAGGGAGGAAGGGAGGAAGGGAGGGAGGGAGGGAGGAGGAGAAAGGGGAAGGGAGGGAGGGAGGAAGGAAGGAAGAAAGGAAGGAAGGGAGGGAAGGAGGGAGGAGGGGAGGGAGGGAGG